GTGAAAAATCAGTGGTTTCTCTCCAGAACATGCAAAGGCTGACTGAAGAATGTGTGAGAGAATTTTCTTATATTACACACACTGCATTAGCCTTAAATAAAGGGAAGGGAGGGTGGGATGGAAATCATGAGAAAGCAATAAAATATTAGGATTGAGAAATATGTACACTTTGAATGATGAATAGGAGTTCATTTTCTAATCTAAATGGCTATATAGCTCAAACACTAGTGTGAAACAGGTCTATAAAAATAATAGAAACTATTTTTATATGTGCAATATAAAACTTAAATAGCGTCTTGTAAGGATGCTTTAAATACTTGAACATTTTTTCCTGTCCTTCTTGAAGTAAAACAATTGCACTGCATTAGCTTTTTGGTTTTGTAAGTATTTATATCTATGTTAATGTTACGTTGCTATAAAAGTAATCCCATGGCATTCTTGACTTGGAAATGATTAATTTGTTGCTGGATTTTAGTTGATCCTTTTGAGAAATGGCTAGGAAAAAAGTATGATCTGATAGCACATAATATTTAAACAGCTTTTGTTTGTTTTACTGCTGTATGTAAATGTGGGTATAACAATGCATTTTATGATATAGACATGTGATTGCTTTAATCTGAGAATCTTTGTATGAGCAAGAACAAGGTAGCAGTTAATAATCCAATCCCAAAATTTAAATCACCTTCCTGTATTAGTAGGAAATACTCTACCAAACCAACAAGCCTTCATACAGAGTCTTTAATCAGCACAGAAAGCAAATGTTAATACTATCTCAGATATCCAATCTGCTTTTAAGCAGTTTTTTTAACACATAGTGCAGGGGTTTTCAAACTTTTTCAGGCTGCAGAACCTATTAGTTAAAAAAAAAAAATGCTTGAACCCCTGATCAAGAAGCAAAGCTGTGCTGCGTTCAGGTGAACTTTCACACACACACACACCCTTGGTCTCTCACAGAACGCTTGAGTACCACAGAACACAATTCTCAAAATTCTGGCCTAGAGTGTAGCCAGTTATGAGACCATTTGGAAACTAGTGCTGTGTCTAAGACACAAGAGATGCTTTTTTTAAAAAGAGAGAGAGGGAGAAGGAATTGGCTTATATAAATTGAATGTATTGTCAGAGTAATGGCTTCCTGCAGTGAAACCAACATTTTAGTAATAATTGCCTAATTTGGTTTCAAGTACATCAAGTTTTTCAGGCTGTTTGGGATTTTAAAATTAACAACAACACTGAATATTTGATCAAAAACATGTTTTTAGAGCAAAGGTAATACATCAAAAAGCTATACGCAAATTTAAAAAGCAGGGTCTAATAGTTCAGTGGTGATTTCAAAACAGAAATAGTCCATTAGTGGAAGTAAGTGAAAAAGAATTTGGCATACTATGATTATAGAGGATTAGACTAGGACACTGTGAATGGGATTGGGCCATACATCTCTCTTACCTTAACCAATCTCACATGGCTTTTGTGAGAATAAAATGGGAAACAATTAGGTATGCCACATTGAGCTTCTGGAATAAAAATGGGATAGAAATGTAATAAAATGAAGAATTGTGTGTGAATTTCCATCTCTCAATCATTTTAAATGATAGAATTATTTTGGTTAAAATTATACATTATCTCTTCTCTGTTTTACATTGTAACTTCCAGAATGGTGTTTAATTAAGAGTATTCACTATTCTTAATTCCTAAAACTTTGGATCTAGATTCTGTTGAACAAACTTAAGTTTATTTCATGTGCTTATGATTATATGTTTGGGAAAACAAAGAAGTGATTTGCCAATTCAGAAATTTTGCTTTTATATGATGAACACTAGGTCTCTCTGAATGAAGTATAACATTATTGAGGTTCTTTAATTTCCCTAAATTTCTGGAGAATACTGTGTATCAGATCACTGTCTATGTGTGTGTAGTTTGATGCTCTGAAATACAAATGTTAATTTTTGCACACACAATTCTCATTTCTCAAGTTGAAACTTGTATCAGATTATTGAAATCAATATTTGCTACAGTATATACATACAGAATTATTTTCTATTTATTTTGTGAGTGGATTTAAGAGTTGGTTAATTATGTGATGTTAAAAATATTTCCATTGCGTATATTAAATATGTGGAAAATTCTTTTAGTATACATCATGGGAACATTGTGTCAATTAAAGAAACTTGTTTCTAAAAAGTGTTAATCTTTTCTCTTAAAGGAAGCACACATTTGCTTATGCAGTTTTTTATAACAGAAAAATATGGAAGATGCTTACAGCTGCTTTCAAAAAATACTGTAGAATGATGAATGCATTATTTTTAAAAAATAGTGCTTTCAAAATTATATGTTCCAGAATATTTTAAATAACTTCCATTGGAATTTAATCTAATTAAAAATGCTGTAAGCTTTGTTGTCTGGTAGTATGATGTAGCCGTTTTCCTTTGCAGATTTATATTTTTCAACAGAATTTGGCATAGTCCTTGGGGATTATATATTAATGTGGGAAATTCAAAGCAAAGTGTCTGAAAGAAAAAAAATGAGATAAGACAGTGGACAGAGAGATTAGATAGAGGAGAAAATTGAAAATAAAAGGAATAGATTGAAAAAAGACATGAATATTCAAGGTTTAGGCTAGGCAGAGGAAAGGAGATGAGTTTTAATAAGGCTAGCGTAATAAGAGCTAAAGAGAGTAGAACAAGCATGTCAGTGGCTGGAAATTTTGGACAATAAAAGGAATAGGAAGTAGGACATTTTGCGAAAATCTTGCCTTGTCACCTTTGCACCCCTCCTGTCCCCAAGTCCAGTTGAAGTTGCCCAGAGATCTCAAAATTACTGCTCCTTACGACGTACATAGAAAGGAAATGTATGAGTTGAGGTGACTATAGTAATTTCTACGTTTTGATTTGTTATGTGGCAAGTGAATGGGTGAATTCATAGATTAGGCTGAGCAATTATTTACTTAACCATGGTTTGTCAAGGAAGACACAGCTGGGTTCAAAGAACACAAGCTAGCAGCCAACAAAT